CTAAAAATGTGCAGTCTGATTGGGATTCTCTATCTCCCCCTATACTACTCTCCCTCTCTCCCTCTCCCCCCCCATAAATAAATAAACTTTTAAAAAAAGTATTTGTTAGCCACTTTGTGTACTAAGCAACGAAAATGTTTAAACCTATAGCAGCTATCCTAGTAACAAATTCCCAGTACTTACTTCCCTGTTAACTGATGACACAGGTCTGTGGGATAAACAGTGTAACTTTTTTAAACACAAGTTGCCACACACACATTTTTTTTTATGAGAAAGAGAAACTGAGGAGAAGAGGAAGAAATAGAGCATCTTAAGCAGGCTCCGAGGCCAGCGTGGAGCCCAACAGCGGTCTCCATCCCACAACCCTGAGACCATGACCTGAGCCAAACTCAAGTCAGACACCCAAACAAATGGGCCACCCAGGCGCCCCGCCACACACATTATATTCTCCAAAGTAAATGAACCTTCATTTATTCACTGTCCTCTTCCATTTGGACAGCCACAGTTCAATAGTCCTTACGTATTTCACTGGTCTTAATGAACAACTTACCAACTTACTGTTAATAATACTGGATCACAGCAGCAACTATGACGAAAACCTGGCTGTGTGTGCAGCACTGCACTGAGAGTGTTATACACCATCCTATCACAACTCTGAAGTAAGACAGCCAAGATTCCGTCACAGATGTGCCTTACACCAAAGCCTTCACTACTAACTAAATCGGACTGAAAAATGTCTGTTTTTGTGAAATAAACAAATCTACTGGATTTCAAACAATGTACGTAAAACAAATATTGGCATAGAGTTTCGCCGCTAAAAACTGAGCACTTTGAAGATTAAAAGTCTATCTATCTAGCTGAAAATTAGAATTACATTACCAAACTGTCAAGAATCAATAATTCAATTGGACCCAAATCAGGCCACAAAGGATTCCAAGTACAAAATAAATATGAAATAAATATAAAACTTAAATACTTCTTTAAAAAAAAAACTGTTATTTCCCAAACAATCCTGACCACCGGAACATGTGTACTACCACCCTGGCTGGTGAGGAGAGCTGGACTAAGAAAACATAATACTCTGTATACATAACAGGTAAGCAACAAATGAAACTGTGGTTCCTTCTCGGGCCTGAAACATCAGTGCAAAGAAGGATACTAAGAAGAAAATCTTGGGGCGCCTGGGTGGCTTGGTCAGTTGAGCGTCCGACTTTCGCTTGGGTCATGGTCTCGTGGTTCGTGGGTTCGGGCCCCGCGTCGGGCTCTGTGCTGACTGCCAGCTCGGAGCCTGGAGCCTGTTTCAGTCTGTGACTCCCTCTCTCTCTGACCCTCCCCTGCTCAGGCTGTCTCTCTCTCTCTCTCTCCTAGAAATAAATAAAAACATTAAAAAAAAAAAAAAAAAGAAGAAAATCTTTGTCCTTCAGTTTTCCAATGCTTGCAAAATAAGGATAAATGTTTCTCTTGCATTTACCTCTAAAGTTTTAACACATCTGAAATGCTGACAAAGCAATTCTGCAAATGTCAAGTACTAAATCATAGGTCAAAAACTCAAAAGCCTAAAGAAGCCAGACACATAAAAGTCCTCAAAATCAGGCAAGAAGTCAAAAGTCTTGCCCCAACGGACTTAATTCCAATACAAATTAAGGGCTACCCTTCAGGGGCGTTTGGGTGGCCCGGTGGGTTAAGTGTCCGACTTCGGCTCAGGTGGTGACCTCCCGGGTCACGAGTTCAAGCCCCACATGGGGCCCTTTGCTGACAGCACCAGGACAGCATCCTCTGCTCCCTTCTCTCTCTCTCTGCCCCTCCCCTGAACGCACATACTCTCTCTCAAAAATAAATATTTAAAAAAGACAACAAAAGAGAGCTGCCCTTCAAAGAAAACCAGAAACCTACAATACATCTTTTGACTTTTTTAAACTTATCAACTATAATCGACACACATGCAGATTAAAAACACAAAGCTATACTGTAAATTGTAGCCACTAAAATAGGTAAAATTATAAGACAGCTAATACTAAATGCCAGTGAGAAGGTAGAGCAACTAGGGGTCTCCTGCACGACTACAGGGAATGTTAATACGGTACAGGCACTGCAGAAATCATTTACTAAAGCAGAGCACATGCATACCTTATTGTAACACACCAGTTCCAATCCTCGGTGACCCAACAGACCTGCACAGGCTTGTTCACCAAAAACCACAACAATGTTCAGAACACGTTCAGACAGAACGGTATTCTTAACAAACAAAAATTGGAAACCTTCTACTGCCCCCCAAGAGTAAAAGGAGAAGATAAAACGTGGTGGATTCATACAATGTAACACAGTACAGGAATGAGACTACAGAAGCTGTTTCTACATCACCTGAATGGATGGCACAAATGCACTGGAAGAAAGAAGCCAACAAAAGAGTGCATGCTATCTGAAAGCCCATTCCTATAAAGTTCAAAAAAGTACAAAAAAGTGAAAAATGAAGCTACAGTGTCAGAATGTAGTGTGAGAAACCGGAAGTGACATTTGGGACCTGAGGCAAAACATCTGGGAGGGGGCAAAAAGCAGGGCTTTGGGGGGGGGGGGGTATGTACTATTTCTTGATCTGAGTTCTAATTATAAACTATGTGTTCACCTTCTAAAACTTCCCAAAACTTTTGAATTGTACACTTTTCCCTGGGTATGTATACCTCAATAAGAACTTTTCACACACACACACACACACACACACAGAAGATTCCATGAACCCCTAACAAAACATTTCTGCAGGCAGATCTACCTTATCAGGGCAGATGAGTTTATGACCTTTCAGCTAAGAGAAACACCGTACAGTCTGACATTTAAAGAAAAGGAACAAAATAAAAGCAAAATAAAATTGTGATGCTAGATGTCCAAGTCCGCAAGAAAATTTAAACTTCTCCTGATAACAGTACCTCTTAGAATATGCTGTCTAGTTTAACTGCCTGATGCACGGAACAAGCCAAGCCTGTTTCCAAAAATATGTCAAAGAATATAGTAAAAGGTAGGAAGCAGACTAAACATTTAAGGGTGAAAATTCAAAGCAGCTATTAAATCACCAACACAGCCCTCTTTCCTGATCCCTGAGCAACCTTACTTGCCACTCACTGATCTGAAGCAATCTGCTCTCTCCCAAAAGGAGTCATAACCCAGGACTACTCCGAGTTACCAAGAAGCCTACAGCAGAAAAGAGAAGCCTCCGGCTTCACCCGGGCAAGGGAAAGCAAGCCCCACAGAACCTAAATACAGAACTCAGCTGTTGAATCAAACAACTATTACAGGACTAAGTGCTAAATTCTGGAAAGCCTTCTTAGCAGTAGCTACCTGTTCTCTCAAGACCCTATACCCCAGACAATTACTTTCCTTTTTTGAGGTCTGGAATGATCCTCACCTTTGACCCACTGTCAGTATCTTTCCACCACCTCCCATCTTCACGTGTTTACAATATCCTGTCCTATCTTTCATGTCCCAAATCTACTACTTCTACGTATTAGAAAATCCCAGAAAGATAACATATTTAATAGAATACCAGCATTTTTGAAAACGCCTTTCTGTGGGTAACAAAGCTACCATTCAGTTTCCCCCTACTATTCAAAGACTGATCAAATTACTCTGAGCCACAACTCACACAACCAGCGAAAAGTTCACCTTGAAAAAGCAAAAGTTGCTACTCCAAAGTGATAAACTTCCACCAACAAAGTAACCAATTTTTACAAAAGCCCTTTTAAGTTACAAATTAATCTGAGCATATCGATTTGGATAAATACATGAGTATTAAAGCCAAGTCCATCACAGCAATCCTTACTCTAAAAAGGCAAATCTCTGGGAACGTAATCATCCTCACAGAGCAAATAGCTGTTGAAACATCTTGCCAAATTCACTTCCGGTTTAAAAACAAATAAAAAAGACGAAAATGTACTGAGGTCCAAGTTAAATTGCCTACCAAATTATTTTCAGATCTAAAAACTGTTTAGAATTCCCAAGAAGGTAGGGCTCCCCTCCCCCTACTTTGGTTTAAAAAGTCAATATATTCAGACACAAAAAGAAAACTCTTGACACCTGCTCTCCTCACTTGCCTAACAGCAACATTCTGCAGAATAGATTGCATTCATACATGTAACTCCACTAACTAAAAGGTTGCAAGGCAACAGATAACGACAAATGAAAAAAGGGAAAACTACCAACAGCCCTAACGTACGAAGCCAAGTGCTCGGCTGCACGCACATGAACGCTGCACGGGACACGTTTGCAAGCCTCCCTGCTAAGAGCTGGCTGGATACAAAGTTGTAGAAGACAGGATCCCTACTATCACCCAGCAAACTGAATCTTGGCTTCAGGAGAGCTGTGTTGAAATGCAACTCTTGTGAAATTCCTACTCTAAACCCTCGACTAAACAGGCGCACAGTGTAAAAGTTGCTGTCCCTTCACTCCTAATCCTTAGAAAGCATTTCCTGCCCGAAAAATCTTTATCCCAATTACACAAACTTTTTCCGTTCCTTCAACCTACTCCGGGAAGCCTTAAGCCCGCCCATCACCTCCCGCCCCCTCCCCACACACACACCCACTGGGGAACCTCAACACTCGGCAGACACCACTCCACACGGGCACGCAAAACACATGTGCCTGCAAACCCAGCCCCTTTCCACACCTCCCGGAAACGACACCCCCTTTCTCACACACCGCACGCCACAGCCCATCCCCCTTCCTCCCAGCCCCCACTCACAGCACCCCGGTCAACCCACCCACGTTCCGGGGAACCCAGCCTCCCCTCAGTCCCCAGCGCGCCGGCGGCTGCGGGGAGGGGAAGCAGGAAGAAGCACGGAGGGCTCAGGCCCGGCCTAGGCCTCGCAGACCGCCTAGGGAGGTGAAGGGGGTGGGGGGGACCCGCGGGCAAAGCTCGTTGCGAGGCCGCATCCGGGCCCCCTCGGCCCCAGGCCTGCCCTCCGCCGCCGCGCCCAGGCCCGGGCCGCCCTCCCAGCCCGGACCACACTCACTTGCCAGCCGCGGCCCGTCGAGCACCCCGCTGCCGCCTCCTCCGCCGGCGGCGGCTCCTGCCCCGGGGGCCCCCAGGTCCGGCTTCTTGGGCCCCGGGGGCGGCCCGGCTCCCCCGCCCGGGACGGCTCCGGGCGGAAAGGCGGCCACCGGCGCGCCCGCCAGCGCCAGGGGGACGCTGTTGCTATGGAGGCCGAGGCCCGGGGCAGCTCCCGCGGCCGGGTCCTCATGCAGGAACTGACACTCCTCCCCGTAGAAGCAAGTCTTGTCCTTGGCGTAGTAGCGGCAGTACTTCAGCTTGACTCCCGCCGCCGCCCCGCCGGGGACACCCCCGACCCCCGGCGGGGCCACCACCGCCGCTGCCGCCGCCAGCGAGGAGGAGGAAGGGGAGGCGGCGGCCGAGGGGGGCGGGAGGCCGCCGCCACTGTTCATGGCAACGCCGCAGCCTCGTCTTCCGCTGCCGCCCGAGGAGCCGCCGCCGCCGCCGCCACCATAGACCGGGGAGGGAAGGAAGACGCTGCCGGTGCCGGATAAAAGCCTGGGCGGGTGGGTCTGTCCCGCTGCGGGAGCCGGAGCCGCCCGGGGAGAGGGGGGGAGGGGAGAGGGGAGGGAGGAGGGGGTAGGAAGGAGGGGAGGGGAGGGGGAGAGTTGGGATTCTCTCTCACTCACTCTCGTTCTCTTTTCTTAAAGGGGCCGCGCGGGACGACGGGGTGGGCGCGCGGGCCCAGACGGGGCCTTCGAGGGAGCGGGCTAGGGAACGGGGAGCGGCGGCGGCGGGCGGGCTGGGAGGGTGGAGGGGGCCAGTTTATTTTTAAATTCTGCCTCCACTCGCTCTCTCGCGCTCTGGTTCCTCCGAGTTGTTTATTCCATTTTCCTCTTCCTGAGAGGGCCGTCGCCGCTGCGCATGCGCGCCGAGGCGCGAGGGCTTGTGGGTAGCGGGAGCGCGAGGGGAAGCCCCGCCAGGCGTCCGGCCCCCGGGGCGTCCGCGAGCCGGCAGGCGGTCGGGACGGGCGGTCCGCGGTGGCCTTCCCTGAGGCTGATCCGGGTGGGGAAGTTCTCACGAGACGAATACCTTCCTTTTTTGTGTGTCCTCTAGCTTTCAGGCCCCGGCGACATTTTTTCGTGGAAAAGACAAAAGTCCCAGAATGTAAACGGTCAATTTGAGGGTCCGCACGCGGAGACGGAGGCGAAGGCCTTGCTCTAGTTGAAGGATAGTTTCGTCTGTTGGCCACGCTTCCTCTCCCTTTTCCCCACCTTCCTTGAAGGTGATGAGAGCCGCCGGACCGAGTGCCTGGACTCCTGGGCCTCCTAGCGAACAGCTAAGCCAAAAATGGTGGCTTCGGACAAACCCCCTGCTCCGTGCAGCACCTGTTTTCTCTATTTATGTGACCGAAAGGCTTCAGTAAAATATTAAGAAAAATAAGATGCCACCTGGGGAGAACACTGCTTAGGCGGCGCCAGAAGGTTCCGCCTACAAAGGTGCTAGGTTCCTTTTCTCCAATCAGCCTCGTCTCGATTTGAAATTCATTTTTAAAAGAGAGTTTTTCCCCCTCAGCGATCTCTGATGTTTTGCTCTGCTGTATTAAAAAAAAAAAAAAGTTTTCAGGAATTTGAAAGCATTGCTATGAAGGGAAAAGCAATTTTAACATTTTAGTTTTCCCTCCGCCGTAAAAGATGGTGTCTAAAGGCAGTATCGCAGTTGTGCAGGGCGAATAGTTGCTGGCGGGGTTTAACCGTTATGGCAAATAGAAGAGATGGCAGAAGAACGGATGTAAGTGTACCACACTGCAGAAAGGGGGAAAAGTGGATTCCGTACATCACAAACTGGTAAGCCTGGTGATGTTCCTTAACTAAATTCAAAAATAACATTGTGTTATGGTTTTCGTTTAAAAACACTTTTGTCTGTTTATTTATTCAGCAAATATTTATTGATGCCCATTATGTGTAGCAGGAACTGCCAGGAACTGGAGAACCCAAACTAAGCGAGATACAGCCTTGTCTGAGTTCCAATGGATTGTTTTCCCTCTGGTTGGGGAAGGTGAAGTACACAGGCGATTATAAAGCCCTGTCTTAAGTGCTAATCTTACACATTGGCTCTAAGAGGATGTTAAAGATGTTAGACTTTCTGGGGAAAGTTGATACCATAACAGCAGGCATTGAGAACATCCGCTTTGAATTCAGACAGTGAGGTTCTAAGCCAGTGCTGAGGTTTAATAGCTATGTTACTCCGGGTTAGTGGCTTCACTTCTCTGTGCCTAATTAGCAAAATGATGGTCAGAGTATCTACTTCGCAAAATATAAGCTGCTGTATGTAAAGTGTCCCATGCTGAGTAAGAATTCATTAGATTTTAGCCATTGCTGTTAGTAGTGTTGCTGCTGGTAGTAATCAGCGTAGAAGGGTGCGGCAAATAGCTTTACAGGCAGAGAAGGCAGCTTGTGCAAGAGGTCTTGTGGTAGAAGAGAGCTTTCATTGTTAGGACAGCGGAGACTTGTTCAGGAGCCGTATCACAGAAGTCTCTGACGTGTTAAAGGATTTAACTTTTTCGTGAGGGCAATAGCAAGTTACCGCAAGGTTTTAAAAAGTCAAGTCGTGACATGGTCAGATTTCCCTTTAGAGAAAAACATTTTGATTCTCATGAGAACCCTATGAGAAAAGTAAAGAAGATGGATTAGCCCCATTTTGTGGATGAACAAACTGAGTAAGGTCTGGATTTACTCAAAGGTACCAGCTTGTAAATCGCAAAGCTAGGATTTAAAGTCAGGACTTCTGGGTCCAACTCTTGATCTCAGCGCGGGTCCTGGTCTCAGGGTTCTGAGGTTGAGCCTGGCATTGGGCTCCACGCTGGCTTGAAGCCTACTTAAAAAAAAATTAAAAAGTCAAGACTTCTAATTACAAAACATTTACCATTCCTAAATGAAGATATAAATTTATCGATGACTCGGAAAGCAAAGCGGCGTCTGGTAAGACCATCTAGGTTCATTAAATTCATGCCAAATTAAACATATCACTCAAATAAACCTTTATTGAGAATCTACTATGTATCAAGTTTGGTGCTAGGCTGATAACAAAACTAAGGCATCAAGAGTTCCTGGCCTCCAGAGTTACTGGGAACCGGGAGGGGAAATGGCAAAGATAAATCATCCCCCACTACCTCATTTGACAGAGTTTTCTATTAAATCATTGTGAATGAGATGGAGAAAAACAGACTAAGATAGTTAGGTGACTTAAGTATCTGTGACTAGTCATAATTGAAACATTGATAAAGCTGCTATTGGAGTTCCTTAATATCCAAAGAGTATTGGTAAATCTGTACATGTCAACGTGGCCTTTATTATCTTCCTTTGGACTCTGCCCTTAACATTTTATGAAAAAAATAATATCTACTGTCTAGGTGGAGGTGCACGTTTAGCAGATCAGCAAGGTGTTGCAATACCAGTGGGGATAGATCATGCTGTAAATCCCCATCAGCTGTAAAAAATGGACTGGCGCTAACACAATGAAACCTGAATTAAATTGTAGGGAAACACAGCAAACAGGCACTTGAATACATTACCGATGATACAACCTCTCCCCGTGCCTCCTCAAAGCAAATAGGCAATATTTTTTCAAAACCCTTCAAAACGTACATTACCTTTTAACTAGTAGTATTCCACTTGGTAAATAAGTCCTAAGAAAATAAATGTAAATAAGGAGTTTTTTTGCTCCAGCGAACGCATTGCAATATTACATACAAAAGCAAAAAAAAGAAGAGCTGCTAACAATGTAAATTCTAAAACCCAGGAGAATAGTTAAATGGTGGACTATTCACTTGGAATATTATGCGGCCGTTAAAAAAGACAGCCATGAAGATGTCCAATGGTGCTTACAATACAATGTCAATATTTAACATGAGAGAAAATTGTATATGCTGTATTATAATGATATAAACAATAAAAAAACTAATAGAAATAAAGATCCAAAGAACTGCCTCAAAACATTCACAGTGGTTTTACTAAGGTGGTAGAATGAGAGAGTAGTTTCTTCCTATCTTTCTTCTATTTCCCAAATATGTGTCATGAACACATATTATTTCTATAATAGAAAAATAAGCATTAAAATGTATTATAATTTAATCTTAACCTTTTAATTCTGAGGGTGAGCACATGGATAAAGTTTATTAACTTGTTCTGTGTATTTTTGGTTTCATTTTGTTTTCAAATAAATTGATTTTGGGAAGACAAAGACACTCCTTTGTTGTCCATTTCTTCTAATTTTCACTCGTCCAGTGTTTCCCAAAGTGTATTTCATGGAAGATTGATTCAGCAGTATATTAACTGGCTTTACACAGAGGAGAGGTTCTATTGGTGAGAAAGTTCCCATGGGAAATGCCGAGTTAAAAGGACTGTCTTTTTCAGACGCCTCGAGTATGTCGGCATGTTGTCATTCTCTAAAAGCAGGATTCAATTAGCAGAATTTACCGAATTATTCTTTTTTTAATGTTTATTTATTTTTGAGACAGAGCGAGACAGAGCGTGAGCAGGGGAGGGGCAGAGAGAGAGGAAAACACAGAATCCGAACCAGGCTCCAGGCTCCAAGCTGTCAGCGCAGAGCCGGACGCGGGGCTCAAACCCACAGACCGTGAGATCATGATCTGAGCCAAAGTCTGGTGCTCAACTGACTGAGCCACCCAGGCACCCCTTACTGAATTATTCTTTACCACTTTTCTCAGAACCCTTTTTTCTCTGCTCTTGCAGTCTGTGCTCCTCAAACACACGGAGAAACACTATCCCAGTCACCAGTATAACTTTTTTTATTTTTTTTTTTAAATTTTTTTTTTTTTTTTTTTTTTATTTCTAGGAGAGAGAGAGAGAAACAGCATGAGCAGGGGAGGGTTAGAGAGAGAGGGAGTCACAGACTGAAACAGGCTCCAGGCTCCGAGCTGGCAGTCAGCACAGAGCCCGACGCGGGGCTCGAACCCACGAACCGCGAGATCATGACCTAAGCGAAAGTCGGACGCTTAACCGACTAAACCACCCAGGCGCCCCAGTATAACTTTTTTTAAATGTGTCTTCATTCTTCAGTCCCCCGATCTTTCTTGCTTTCTACTTCCTCCAGCCATAAAGAGAAAGCTCTGCCTGTGCCCTTAGGACAAGAGCCCGTTCCCTGTAGGACTGACCCTTTCCCTCCTGCTCTGAACTCCCCGAACATTTCCTCTGGCGCCTAGTGTTCTCCATCCAGCATCTTCTCGGACGCTGCTCCTAGGATGTGATTATGCAAAGTTTCGCACGGAAATCATGTTGCTGTGAACCTTTTGTAATCAGAGACAGAAGTGTTTTTGTTTGTTTGTTTTTTTTAATCCCAGAAAGAAGCCCCGCTGGTAAGAGGGCTAACTAACGGCCACTTTGGAGGGCAATTTGGCAAGATTTGTAAAATTTTCAAATCTCCATACCCAAGACCCAACAATGGCGCTCTTGGTATCTCCCCAAGAAAGACCCTTTGTGCTCAAGGAGGCGTACGTCACAATGTTCATTTGAGGCATTGTTGTTAATAGTGAAATTGGAAATAACCTAAATGTTCGCACATACAGAGATGGGATC